TTGGATGTGTCTACAGCCCTCTCCTTACTCGCTCGTTTCCAAAATCTTGGGGAAAGTAGGAAATAAGGTAAGTAGGATGGGGAACGGAGCTGTTCCAGGGGGTCAAATTTGGGATGGGGCAAAAAGCGATGGTGCGCCCTGATCGATATCCGCTCCCAGGCGGGAACCCCTCAATTCCTGTCCTCCTATGCTAGCCCGCACCGACCGTGGTCGTCTGCGCTCTGCCCTGGCTAGAGAGGGAGCATAGACGGCGAGGGCCGCGTGGCACATTTTGATCTTCAGGGAAAGGGATATTGATTGCCCAATCCTCAGTCCCCAGTCACGTCGAACATTCCAGTCATGTCATACCATAAGAGGGGGGACGGCTTTGTAGCATAATGGATGATATCGGGGTGACCCAAACACTAGCAACAGGTCCGGAAGAGCGTTCCTCTCCAGGTCACGGCTGCGAGGTTTGTCATTTTCAACTCATTTGCGGTACTGGACTACACTTTTTCATTACTATTAACTTTTTAGCCGAGAATGACTCCTGACTGGATAACTTGCGTTCTCGACCGAATACCATCAGCAGCGGACGTTCTACTGGTCAGCTTACCCTACAGTGGATTATGACAGAAACGAGTGTAAGCTTCGCTACTTCGTGCTCGAGGGCTCAATTATGGACGATTTGGTAGCTGATACAGGTAGTCTTCTTACTATCTACTTTAACTCGCCAGTGACATCACAGCATCGATTTTCTCCTCTCACCTGCGCTCTCTACTTATACATCAAAGCATCTGACTTTTCTTAGCTTTTTTCCTCCTCGTTTCTCGAGCGTCTCCTTTCTGTAACAGACCCCTTCCCCTACCGCGCTAGTTTCTTCTTGATCGTGTTCTAATCATGAGGGAAGGTCTTGCACTGCCTAGCGGCTTACGGAGGTACTGTTGCTAGTTCACGGTTTACTCGGTTTTTTATTAACACCACACATCTTGATTTCCTCCTCCGTCAGCCTCTCCACATGTATCTAGTGGTATAGGCTGATTACGCAGCTATCTTTGAACAGAGCAGCATTGCGGGCTTCAACGTATTTGCGGGGTGTGGGGTTGCGGTAAGCCACGCGGCGCGGTGTATACTCATTCATTCTTCAGCTCATAGGTCATTGACTTGATCTTGTCGAATGTAGCAGTGGGGCCATGTTAGATTAAAATAAAGTTTACGTAGAACTTTGCTCGTGGGAAATCCCAGCGATTAGATGCTAATAACAAAATACTATTGTGTAGCTTTATTAGCTCAAGAACATCATTACAAAAGTGACAACAGTCGTTCTGTTTGGGGTATTGATTTTAGGAAAATCTTCAGGCCTACATACTGTTCTTCTTCACGTTCAGCCTTAAACTGTTTTAGCTTTGCGAATTTATAGCTTAGGCATAGTATATTTTCATGTCCGGCTAAACACCAAAGTTCTTCGTTATACTTGCTAGCGATGTGGAGCAGAGACGGTTATGATCATGGCGCTCGCCGGCTCTGCTCGCGGTCGTCCCCCCCCCAAATACGTTAGCACCGCGCATGCTACTGTTGCGAAACCATGTGGTAGATGAAAGACAGCAGCATCGAAATGCGAAAGAAGAAAGCGGCGAGCCAGAAGTGGGCTTGGCTTTTTCAAGGGGAAGGGAACTCAAGGGTAACCTAACACTTGTGAAAAGCTGGAATGGTGAGTCAAAATACCACAGGATACCATATAGGCGAGAGGGTGCACAGAAAAACGATGTATCAAAGAGACTAGATACAAGTAGTATGTACATCATACTTAGCTCTTATGTGACCGCCGTTGTCTCCCAAACGACTTTCCTACATAATGAGCGATTTGTCGCTCACTGAGGGAGCGCATCCTCGGGTTCATCGCTCTCTCGTAGCTTCCGTCGCTCTAGCAAACGCTGCCTTTTAACTGTTTGCGATCTCTCTCATTTCGTGGCAGGACCATGAGAAATGTTTGGGCAGCCGCGTAACTTGACGTGTCGTGCGCGGAAGTCACGTATGTTTTATTCTCAGATGCCAAGAGTAAGTAAAGGAAGTTATGAAAAGTTTAGTGATCATTAGGAAACGAGTCTGGAGTAAAGACTAGTTCCGCCAATCAGAAACACTACAGAATAGACGGGTATATTCCGGAAAAAAAAACAAGCTTAGAGGTAAATGGTAAATGAGAAATTAACGAAAAGCACCAGAAATAAAGCAAGAGGCCCTACGATATGACGAAAGTTGGCGTCATGTGGTTAGCGCTCGCACAAAGTGCTCCCGGTGACGATTTCGAGTAGCACAAAAACAACTGTAGTGCTGAAGCACGCGCCAGTGTCTGGCGCTGAGCCGGTGTTCTTGCCCCCGTGTAGAAGGGTTAGCATGCTTCTGTCAACCAATTTCTCTCGCTGCGTCGTCCAAAGGGATTTTCCCATCGCATCACCTGGTAGAGCACTTAGGAGGGAGGAAATTAGGCGTAAGATGGGAGGAAAAGGAAAGAGAAGGAAGGTGGTTGTCACATACCCGTGACCCACATAACTCGAGAAAAAAAATTGGATGTATCAACCAGTTTATGTAGTCTTTAATCTCAGGCTGCGGGTTATGCAGCCATCTATCTCAGGCTGGGTCAGCACTACAGGTAATCTCTGAGATGCAGGTGCTACCTTCGATGGGTAAAATTCTCTCAGTTGGTAACTTCGAATATGTCTAATCTTAGGATTAACTCGACGAAGTTTGGTCCGATCCGAAAAGGGACTTAAATTCCCACCCCCTCCAGGATATTTAGATATGTTCATGACATTCCGCTGAAAGAATAACAAAGCTAAAAAATTGTCCGCAAGCTTTTCTGGTCCAAGTTTAGCGCTGAGTCAAAAGGCACCTATTTCTTTTTTCCCTCGGTCTGACTAGAACGCGGGGTCCACGATGTAGACGATGTTTTCTTGAATTATAACGAACTAGAACCTTTGGTGGAGTCCTGGCGCGAGAGGAAGAGAGCGCAGAGAAATAAGGTACTGCGGCTGCCAAGGCACTTAAAGGTTCAGGAACATGTTGCGAGCCAAAGCTGAGCTTTTCGAAGGAACTGAATTTAAGGGTGGATGGGCCACTGGTCATGCGCGAAAGGTATGTTAGCGGCCGCAGAATGTCATGCAGACGTAATCAGCGAGTTTTTTCCTTCAGGAACGCTTCAAACCCTTCTAGAAATCTTGAGAAAGGCTACTCTGCTCGGAACAGATTAAACGAGCTCCAGTTTTCTTGACTTGTATGCGACAAGCTGTTCTCCTGCAAAATGATGGGTATTTTTGGCAGCGCGTAACTACAGCTGACTGATTTATCGATTCGGTGGCCGTTTCTGCACGAATAGGCGTCCGTTTTTTTACGTCGCTATAGCGGTCCATGGGCCGTAAACTACCCATGAAGATAACGATGATATAAAGCTGCTTCAATATTGCAGATGCAAATTTAGAAGAAAAATGCGATAGTAGCTCCGGTATTGAATTCCTAGGAGGAAGTTTTCTAGCTGCACAGAACTCGTCTCAAGTACAAGTAGAGCATGTAATGTAAGCATGATGTAAAAAGTTCTCCAGAAGGGCAAGAGTTACCGTACCAGCAGACTATCGGTGAAATGCGCAGGAACGTCAGCGTCACATGCATGGGCAACCGATCGATAATGCAAGCCATGAAGTCATTGTAGTTCACAGTGGATTTAGTCTTTGACATAATTAAAACTCAGTTATCCACAGCTCTCCAGGTTTATTAGCGAGAACACTTATACTAAACTTATATAAAATGAAAAATTTCAAAAAAAAGAACAATCGTAAGAGCGAAATTTTTAAAAATCGCTGGAAATTGTGCCCCTTTGTGCTTTATTCAAGAGTCCGCAATCGTTAACCTGGCCTATTTATCGTGTATGACATACACAAGAGCACTTCTTGCAGTTGGCAGCCGCTCCAACAGCGTCACACTACTGGCCCCGACTTTCGCTCCAGGACCTGCACGTAATTTTTGGTGAATTGTTTTAGTAAAAAGGTGGAAATCCAGATGTATATAGCTTGATATTACTCTCCAGGTGCCTGTGTTTCTATAGAAACATTCATCAGCCTTACTATAGGTTAGCTAGTTTCTTTATAACAAACACTTTACCGTTTCACCGATTTTTGGCACGAAGCCAGCTTTGGGCGTGGTTGAGACATCGATTATGATTGGATGTCGGACACGTCCCCGCCAATCACCCCTGGCCATCGACTCGTCAACCAATAACATGTAAGTAGAATTGGAGATTCGCCAAAGATTCATGAGGCATTAGAGCCTCTTTCAGTACTGTTATTTGTTGTATTAGTATTAGCTGAGGCGGACTGTACAGCAAATGTGAACTTGTTTGTATAGTTGTAACAGTATCGTAGAGTTGCGGTCCTGTACTGCTTCATTTTCACTTGTAACCCTTCAGAGTTTGTTCCTTCATGATATTTTGTTAATCTAGGAGTGTTGTCGATAAAGGACAAAGGAACGGATTGCCAAATCGATTTCTGAAGTCCGATCAGTCGAAGAATGTGCCTGATCAGCAGCTTTGCAATGCAAAAAGCGAATGTGGCCAGGTTTGTTCAGTTTTTGTACTTTCTTAGTGTTACTATTCATTAATTGTCCGTTTGATACTTCTTAGACGTTTTTTCTTTCCTTTATAAAAGTACATGCAGAAAGCCACGCCGCTATTGATCGGCTAATTATCGATTTTCTCGATGGACGCGCCAGCTTCTGTGATCTGTGGTGACGAGTTGGAATCGATTAGTACATTCTCTTTCAGACATTCCAAGTCATACAGGATATGGGAGATGGCAAACATAGGCAGTTTTACTTACAACTTCCTCCTGGTACTTCAATCGCTGACGTACAGGTAAGCGAGTTTTACTGTTTAACTTAGCCTTGAGCTCTTGCTTTTCCCAGTGGTTCCAGTTTCCATTTCGATTCTGAAATCAAGATTAAGTGTTCTACAGACCTAAAGGAACATAGAGTAGGACTATTGGTTTGTAGGACCATTCGTTTGTTAATACATTCGACTGTCTGCTGTCTCTCTCAGGAGTACTTGCCTCTCTAGTAGCTGTACTTACAAAGTCCAGAACTTTTTTATGCTATACTGCTACGGGGTCGCAAATCTATCTCCTAAAAAAAGGCAGTTGTGTCTGTGGTCCGTCGTCCAAAATATGAAGGATGGCACGGAAAGGTCCGCCGCCAACGGGCTCAGGTTTTCGAGTACTTACAACCCCCATCCCGGAGCTGGGGAGGGTGTGGCTGCGTAGTTCATTTAAACGTGGTGGTGGATTCTTTTGTGCTCATGTTTTTGTCCAGCCCAAGAGCATTACAGTTGTCTCAGATGGAAATACCTCACGAAAACACATCCTACGCCATGTTCAGGTGAGGGACACAGCCACGCCCACTCCAGATCCGGGATATGGGTGTAAATGGTAAAGCTCTCACTTTGCGGAATTCAAAATATTCTTGCTGGGCTAGAACTGAGCTCTCCAAATACCCTTTTACGCAATGTAAGCGTTTGCGTTCCCATAGTACTACAGCGCCTCTTTGGGCTCATGACAGCGCCTCAACTTTTTTTGTGCTCGGAAAAGCGCTGTACTATTAATTAGTTGTAATGGGATTGACTTTTGAGATACTGATGGATCACTTCGCCCCAAACGACTAGTCGTGTTTCGCTTCGTCCAAGTGTTCAGTCTTCGTCATCTTTTTTTTACCTGGCCTACACTGAATGATCCTTTGTCACAGTCATTCAAAGTTATTATGGACATTACAAAAAAGTAACCATTCCTATTACGGGTAACTCCGGCGCAGAAAGTTAATGCACTTAAAGTGTCAACTTAATTTCTCTAGCAATCGTCCTTGTAGTCTGTCTTATCAGTGTCTCACCCTAATCAAGCAGTAATCAGTAGTCGATCTGAGCACGTTTTTATCTCTTCTTAAGCTATCAAAGTCTTGAATGAATTAAACAGTTCTGGACTAAATCGGGTGATGCAATAGGGTGAGGGATTTCAGTGCAGTAGTTTGGGCGGGTTAGGGTAGTGAGAATTTTGCTCAAGCAGTTGAAGCTACTTACTATCACCAGCTTCACTTGTCCTCCTCTTTCTTTCCGTTACTTCGGACTCTTAGGCAGCGTTCAGACCTCGCGACGGCAGCGCTTCGGTCGCGCGTGCGACACGATCGATGCGCGTGCTTTCCACGTGCGATCGAAGCGTTGCCGTCGCAAAATCTGAACGCTGCCTTGTTCAACATTGGATGACATTTTGTGCTGGAAAGTGCAAGGAAACAATCGTAAGCTAGTTGGATGAGAATTTTCTCCTAGTCCCGAAGGGACCCAAGTTTGGGCGAAAATTCCTTTTTACAAAGCTGTGGGGAAGGATATCTTATTCTAGACTACATGGGTATTACTTTTGCTAGACTGTGGTAAAAAAAAGTGCTTTTGTTCTGAATTCATCATGTGTTCTGCATAAAAACGGTAATGTGTCAATCAGAACTTCAAACTGGTACTGCTGTAATGATGGCATTATAGCTGAGGGCATTCTACGGGCTATTTCAACTCGCTCCTTTGAACGAAATCGTTTCTCTCCTCTGTCTGCGGTCTCTTGTCTATAGAGCGCTTTGATCACTGTTACTTCGCACATTCTATATTTTTAAATATGGCAGGTGGTATCCCGCAGGATCCGCTTTCAAAATGATCAGTCTTATGGTTCTATGCTCCTTCGTAATTTTCCAATGCTGCGTTAGCCCTTCTTTGTCCACGGGCACTCTCTAGCAGGGATCGAAAAGTTCCAGTAGTCGCATGAATTTGTGCCGCAGAATGGAGCTTAAAACTTCTTTCTCTTGTTAGTGGATGTTCAAGAAGTAGAGTCTACGGGGGGATGCTTCCATACATTTGACCGTATGAACCACCCATGCCGTCAAATGCGGCAGAACTCAGTTCCCCCTCCCCCTATGCGTTCATGCTCGTGTTTGGTGAAAAAGGAGGTCGCAACCAAACTGGCCAAAAGCCTGAGGAGTCTGTTCAGAAGGGCACGTCTCATCCGGTGCGTGCAGGACGGCGTGCTATTGCGTTCAAACGTTTCGCGAGATAGTGATGCGTTCAGTATTTGTTGAGCGAGCCTGAACTCATGTTACGGTGAGGTCGCGTAAATCTACATGACGCGACTTTCTGCAGTTTACTGTCGCATGAACCATTCGCTGGTAAATTCGACGTTTTTACCGCTGTGGCAACCTTGCAATTCGCTGTGGGACCACAGCGCGCTATCCGCTAAGCTTCGATCAATGGGAACACCCAATGGCCTTGTTCCAAGAATGCAAGTGACAATGAGAGTATCCATAGGAACAGTTTGTAGCATATTTTGTTGCTGCCACTACAATTGCCACCATTGATCATACGTGAAAACCTGGAAAGTGTGATATCACAGTAGTCGCAGGACGCCATGTAGACGCGAGAGTGCAGACAACGCGACGTCAAGTGCTTTCCTCCCAACTGTGTTAGCGCCTAGTTGTCTAAGAGCTTATTTTCAGACTCAGCCCTAATTGCTTAACTTGAACTGCACATAGTTATATATGCAGTTGCAGTTATATACGCCGTCGCTGATGGGGCGCGTCCGTGGAGCTGGATTTGGCGCAGTGCCAGCTCGTCATCCACCACTTGTTGAAGCGGGTAAACGACAATAATTGACGGGAAATGACCGACATGAACGGCGCGATAGAGCCTTGTTGCTTACTCGCTTCAACAACCGGTGGAAAACGAATTCGGTGCCGCGCCAATCCCATCCCGCCTGACACGCCCCATCATCCGAAGCAAATAGGTTTAAGGCACTTGTTACAATGTTTTTCCAGAACTTTGTGATATTTTCAGAGCTTTTTAGGTCAAGTCTATTTCCGAAACTGGAATGCCTTTTTGATCGGAAGCATGTTATTCATTACCTTTTCATCGGCAACTTGTTGCCAATCATCAAAGAATAGTTGCCTTGCTTCTAGATGCTCTCTGGTTCCGTTCCGAGAAAGGCAGCTGGGTCATTTTTGAGGAGTACTTGAAAATGCATTTTTCACCCAGAAGATTGCCGCTGTGGGATTAGTTTAGATAGCAATCAGAAAGAGCTACAGTCAGGGCTACACGAAGACTGTGGTGTAATCCCTCAGCTAAGATTCAGGATCTCGAGCATTGTCATTTTCGAACAAGATTATAAGTTCAGGTTGTCAGGCTGCGTACAATACCCCCGAAAATTGCAGGAGGGGGGAAGCTCCGGGGTTTGGCTGCCACCCGGGCCGCGACCCGCCCGACCCCAGTAGGTACCCGCTCGCGCGGCCAGGTTCAGTATCCCCACGCTAAAAATATATATGCCACGCAGTCCCACGCCCCGTTGTGTGCATTTACGACCAACACAGTTAATCCCACGCGCAATTTTCGGGGGTACTGTATGCACCCTGACAACCTGAACTTATAATTAAGTCATTTCAGAAACTTTGACCTTAAGCTGTTGTAGAGTAGGCAAACGTGCGAGGTTGCGGGACCAAATGGTGGGGGTTTTCATCCTTCCTTTGCAGGTGATTACAATAGGATTCGCTGACAACTACAGCGTCGAGAGCAAGAAATTCCCAGAAGTTAATCCCACCATGTACACAGTATCACCGCCCTACTGGATTGACAGGATTGCATGGCTGGGTCTGCTCTTTCTGGAAAATCTAGCAACTGACTTCCCGCAGTGGTTCAGCTAGAGACACTCAGGGTACAGCCTTGTTGTATGAAACACATAGAGGGGGTCGTACTTTTCCGCTTGGGGAGGGGGGGGTCGTATTTAATCGCTCTGAGGAAGGGGCGTATGGGTCTTGAGAGGAATTTGCAGCGCTGGGAAAAACTTTTCCCGATTGTTTACTTTTCGCGTGATTTTTCCTGTTTCATGTGTACCATATACCGTAGGAAAATTTTCGGTAAATTCGAAATTTGGGAAAATGTGGTAAGAAGTTAGGGGAAACTTTGAGAAATTTCCCGTTTCATATTGGCTATGTCCCCCCCCCGCTCGACGGAAAATTTTTGGGTGAAAAACTGGAAAATGTGGGAAATTGGTAGGTAGGTGTTTGGGAAAAGGGGGTCGTACCGAGACCTCTGGGTGGAGGGGGGGGGTGAGGGGTCGTGCTGACGACCTTCCCTCGAGGAGTCGTACTGACACCACCATTTCATACATCTCGATGCTGTACCTTGGGCGCACTTTCTCCATATCCGATTACAACGTTGTCCAATCCAGTCCGTATGACGGGAGGAATAGGGTAGACAGTGGACACATGCCCTCCCCTTTGAGTATCGGTCAACTCACGAGAAAGCTTTTGACCGATTTTCAGTGCTTTCAAACGGAGTGAGGGTCCCTCTCAAATGAACTTTTGGAGCAGCCAAGTTTGAGAACTAGATAGCGAGCTAATTCGTGCGACTTGGTTTTAGTCAAGGAAAGCAGTAGCTCCAAATTCAAGGCGGATGGCTTCCCTGGACGAGGTTTGTCTCCCAAGTGGAAGTTACCCAAGCGAAAGGGATGGGGCGATTTTGATGGGTTCTATGGAAGGTAGCATGAGAAC